GATGTAGTGGACAGAGTAATGGATTAGGATTCTGAAGACTAGTGTTCAAATTCTTCTAATGATGCATTTGCTATGAATTCTTTTGGAAGTGTTGTTTTTATTGCTCGAAAATTGCCTTCCCCAACCAGGTACCTCTACAGGTTATAAATCCAATAACACCATCATTAATTGTGGGTGGTGGGATTTAACATGTCAGAAAACTGTGAGTTTAGGGTGGCCCGTCTGCTCTGAAACATGGGATATAATCAGTAAAGAAATATCCATGCATCACTGCCAAGACTGGTGCTACACAAAACCAAATGGTCTGATTATTTCTTGTAGACTCCTTACAAGCAAAACACTACAGAGACAATTGTAGAACCTACAGTGACCCAGTGTTAAAAAAATCTCAGCCCTGCCTTTTTCACAGGTTTTGTCCTACCATGCTTATCATGAGGTAGTCATACAATTGAACATTAATAGCTCCCAGTCTGCAAGGGATAATGCTATTTAAGAAAGATTTTAGACATCTGGACATAAAACAAAAGTATTTTTTTGAGAAAGCTGTTTTGGAAAGTGGAAGATTATGCACCATTTGCATGTTGCATTTGCTAAAGCTTTACTTGAAGTACTGCTTGGAATGAGAATACTTGACAGTGTTTTCCTATATCCATGTTGCTTGCTTATGTATTTCATGCATTGCAAATTAAACAATTTGGCTTCTTATTTTAAAGGGGGCATAGCTTAGCACCTTCTTATGTTGCTGCAGGCAAGAATTTTGTGGCACACCAAGCAGTCAGTGATATTCTGCGAAGATAGCTTTCTAAGTGATAATGTACACTGGACTGTGCAAGGCAGAATGGGGTGAGAAAGGACAGAAACCAGAAGTCCAGGTTGCTAAGTGTTTGAGAATGGATGTTGAACAAGAAGGCAGGAATTAAGAGTAAGTCAGGACAGAGAGCAATGAAAGCCAAAGGGTAAACCAGAAGGTGGAACTGAAGAACAATACAGGAGTGGGAAGCAAATAAAATGTATAAGCTTTTGAAAAAATATATCAGAGGTCAGGTACACCTAATGACATAATGCTTTTTCTTTTCAGAATCTCTTTTTTTCCCACCCAAAGACAGCTCCCATCTCTAATATCTGTGCCAGTGTTTTCTATAATTCTGCAGAATGTGTCTGGTAGGGGAAGAAGATGTCTCACCCAACATAAAATCTGAGACAGACAGAAACCTGTCAAACTGGATCCTTGTCTCTCTGCACTGCACCTGAGACAAAACAGCCTGCCCCATTCTTGTCTTTGCTAAGCAAGGGAAACAACAACTACATGCCTGGCTGAGGATGCTTCAGTACATACAATGGGAAACCAGTTTGTAGATTGTACCAGTCAGCATTTAATTTAAAAAAATCCAGTTGCTAGGATATTGCAGTGGTTAAAGACTGCAGACAATATGAAGGTTGGGTGGTGTCTTATGCTATGAGTAGCTCCAGCTTCAGTATTCCTTTGGAGCTGAATATCTGGCAATAGGCAGGGTGGCCGACCAAAGTGGATTCATTAGAATAGGCACATGATGACCTCTGTGCAAATGAAGCTATCACGGAGCTGAAGCTACCTTTCCATGTTGCAAGGACACTGCCAGGAATCTCTTAAACTACACATAGGTCTAAATACAAGATTTTGAAGTTTGGGGCTCAGAAATGTAAATTACAAATACAGAATGAGGAACAGAAAATATTTCTACAACTTACCGCACTTGAGCCTCTGAGGAAAGAAAGTAGATTTCGACACACAGGAAGCAGAACCAACATGCAGTTGAAATTCAGACATGCTGCGGGTGCCCGAGCTAGTGCCAAGTAAGGCTAAACGTAAGACAACGGGAGTCAAAATTAATCAAACACCATTGCCTGCAAAATGCATTAGAACAGAAGTAGAATCCTAATGGACTGGGAACAAGAACTCAAATTCAGGGGATATAAATGTAAAACACAAAGCAGCCATTCCCAATCTGGGATACTCCAAATGTTTTGGATTACAACTTTCATCATATGGGTACTACCTCCCCCCTTTCTTTCCCATCCTTCATCTCTGCTGATCCCATTACTGCTGTAAAGTTCTTCAATCTCTTCCACAAGTGTGTGGGGGAGAATCTCACTGAGGCCCTGAAAGAACAAGGCCTAATCTTTGATGCAGAAAGCTATTTAAAAAATCACCCCAGCCCCCAATTTCTTGTATGTGGCTCTGTCTAGGTCTCACCCCCCTTTTGTTTTTGTTTGAAATGTCTTCACTGCTCTGAAAAGTGGGAAGCAGCAGGAAAAGAGGAAGACCAAATGTAAGATGGATTGACTCAGCTAAGGAACCCATCGACTTGAGTTTGTAAGACCTGGACAGGACTGCTGAGATAACTAATTCATAGAGCTGCCATAAGTTGGAAGCGACTTGACAGTACATAAGAGCAACAAGAATTTTGGCTCCTCTCCAGACCTCAACAGAAAGAGGGAAGAGTTCCTCCAGCACGGTTTAGCAGGCTTTGCCATACTTCCACATAATATTTAATCCACAGATAGTTTTTGAGGTAACTTACTTGACAGTTAATTCTGCCAAGAAGTAGGAAAAGATAAAGGGAAATGTAACACATGAAGGGAAGTTCACCCAACGGGGACTTTTGGATTGCTTAAATATCTGTGAAAGAACTTTTAACTGAAACGCTGTATTTTGTAATAGTCAAGTTGAAACTGAGTTACAACATTGCAAGAAGTACAAAATTTGTTAAATATCGTCTTCTCTTATGACATGTGAAGTTCATCATGACTCTGTAACATATGTAGAATATACTCACCCCGAGGAGTTCTCTTGTATAGTAGAATTTTTCCCCATCAGCGTATACCAAGTAGTACCACCAGAAAAGGAAGACATTTATGCCCAGCCACACAAACTGAAGGAAGAAATATATGATATGAAATTAATTTTAATTCTTTATTAGTGGAGGTGGAAAGACCTCGGGCTTGTGGGGTCTATTGTGTTCTTTACAAGGTCTGCTCATCAGAACCAGGTACAAAATTGTGTATGTTGGACAGATAAATGTTCTGTTTTGAGAAACCAAAGGGCTGTGTTTATATTCTGTGGCAAAGTCTAAATAAGAGAGGCTTAGATCACACAAGTTATTTATTTTTGTCGTACACTTTCTCTATTGCTGGTGTTGGAATAGTTTCAGATCTTTTTCAAAATTGCTTTATTTCTGCAATACAACTAATCAGAGAAGGTTCTTGAATATGGACCAATCATTTTTTAAAAAATGCCCTAGGAAGTATCGTAAACATCAAGGCACTCAGAGGAAAAATATGGAAGGAATATTGGATGTAATTGTCATATGGCAATGTTCTGTTTAGAGAATCTTAAATCTTTTAATTTCAACAAAACTCAGCAACCTTAAATAAACCGTGAATGTGAGTGGCAAATAACATCTGATGGCAACATTACAGATTAGCGTCCTCTGACCACTGGCACATCCCAGTAGAATATTTTGCACCCCGGAAGTCATGCATGCAACCTTTCAAAGCAGTGCCAGTGTAGTGGGATGCAGATCTTGGAAATATTTGCCTTCTCCATTTCTACTCCGAGAATCCAATCAACCTGGAAAATGGTATCCTTTGGAAGCTGTTGGAGCCTCCATGACTAGGCAGGGCTCACAGCTGTTTTTCACAACATCCATGTCCACTTTCTCCAAGCATCTGAATTTCAGGGCATTTATGGGAATTTCAAGCAGTGCATCCAACAAAGCATGACTGCCTTGGCACTGAAAATAGAACTCCATGAAGGGTGTCACAGTTGTCAAAGCAGGCTTCGTTGTATAGTAAGGTACCCTAGGATCTGGGGCTAGACTTCTATATACCATATTCTTTGTGCCATGCCTAGTTTATTGTCCGTCCCAGTGGACTCTTTTCATCCTGGATTGAACTTGTTGGAAGTAAACTAGCTGAGTAAACAACAACAACAACAAACAAACAACACACACACAAACAAAAAACACCACTACCACCATACCTTTTCTTAAATAGACAAATTAAATATTCCTTATACGCAACTTTAAGGTAGAACAGGCATATGCTCTCTTTCTATAATGCATATCCACCCCCCAAAATACATTCTTTTATATAGAACATTATAACATTCAGTAGGAAAATGTATTTTTAAAATTATGTACAGTATTTATTATAACATTTAGAAAAATATAGTAGAATATATTAGGAAACTAGTTAAACGGCAGTGGCTTAAAAGAATAACCTTAGATCGAGATTGTTTTACTTACAATAACAAATATGGAAAGTCCCTCATTCACCACCCAGTTGCCCATGGTGCTGACTGTCTGAGTGAAACTGAACTGGCTTCATTTGTTCTCAGGAATGGCTTTTTTAAAACTATGACAGTAGGAACTGAAAGCTATAGGCTTGCAACAGCCTGTTTCCTCATTTTGTTTTGCATGTCATTAGCTACCCACTCATACATTTACAATTTTTGCTCTTTTCTCCAGACATATATAAAAACCTTACCAGTAGTGAACAAATAAATAAAAGGGACTGGTAAATATATTTATCTTTCTGCAGCTGATGATTTGGGTCATGTTGTTTCCAATTTCCACAAATTCTTCATCATCTACAATATATCCAACACTAATATGCGGAGGAGGGGAAGCGTTGGGAGAAGGGAGAGATGGAAAGCCTTATTCATACTCAGTATAGATGCAATCCTCTATTCACTAACCTGGTTGGTACTAAGCCCTCTTGAACTCAAAGGGCCTTATTCCTCATTGGAATCATAATCTATCATGCTACTAATGTTTCTAAGCTGTTCCTTTGAAGTGAAGCTTTTAAAAGTGTGCTGCTTATATACACCCTGTAGAGCTTAAAGCACTCTCTGGGCAGTTTACAATTTAATTACATAGGCTACACATTGGCCGTCCCCTGCGGCAAACTGGGTACTGAATTTACTGATCTCAGAAGGATGGAGGGCTGAGTGAACCTGAAGCTAGCCACCTGGGATTGAATCAAGGATGTGAGCGGAGATTTGGCTGCAGTACTGCAGTTGAACCATTGAGCCATGAGGCGCCTATACATTTATATTGTATTTAATCATTGCACTTGTTTTGGAAAATGCCCAAGCATCTCTGTAATGGAGTGTGGTGTTCTCCTTTATTATGTTAAATAGTCATGCATTATTCATGTTGTAGGCTAATGTTGCTGAGAGGCGGAGCCAAGAGAGAGGTAAAAAAGGCAGAGCCTGAGAGTGGGAGAGAGTGGAGTGGAGTTAGAAATAGAGTGATAGTTGGGAGATCTGAGGTGTGATTAGTCAGAAGAGTGTATAGTAACTGTAAGATCAAATAGAAGATTGTTATTGTTGATTTAGAAACCTGAAGATACGTATGAGTTATTATCAAAACATCTGTAAGCTATAAACTTGTTTTATTTAAAAGACAATGATGAATGGACCTTCTTCTTTTTTTAGAAAAGTATGCTGATTTAGTGATCAACTGGTGGCAGCATGTGAAGAGGAGTTTGGTTTGCCTTCATGTGCTCAGTGGTTGGAAGATAACCAGGGGTAACCAGGGGCAAATGCTACATGGAGCAGGTCAATAAATAAATAAATAAATGAATGAATAATGAATGAATGAATGAATGAATGACAGTCATACTTGCCTTGACACAAAACTTGTTAGTGAGATATTATGGTGGTTAACAGCATGAACTATAATCTTAAACCCACTATGTATTGCAAACTAATATTTTCATCCTCTTCCCTAATCTATAATACAGGAATAATTTAGTACTCTAATTGTAACAGTTTCTTTGAATTCAGAAATAACAAGTTAGTTTTGTTAATAAAGGGTAAAAAATTATGTTTTGAAAATGACTTTTTAAACATTTTAATGTTACTTCCATTAGATGGATTCATCCTGTTTATATGACTATTGTAGTATTAAGACATTAAATCATACATTATTTCCAAGCTCTGTAGTTACCAAGATAATGCATAGGAGGCACTTGGCACATTTACAGAACAAAATACAAAAATAGTGAATATTAACATAGGATTGTGTGGAGTGAGCTCACCAGAGGCCTGATTCTGCTCATGATTCATGGTTTGTTAATTGCCACCACTCTATACTAACCTGTATTGGTTCATAAAGTTATCAGGAATAAGCAACATAACAAGAGCAGACATGGTCCATAGAGGAAAAGTGTTCTGTCTTTCCCCAGGACAGAACTTCTTGCTTCTATGTTTATATTATAGGATGCAGCTGGGAGTCACTATTACAATCGATGCTGGGTTTCTCTCTCACTCACTAGTGTGTCTCTTAGGGGAACAAATTCAGTCATCAGAGATATGGGAAATGAAACCCATGTGGCAGAAAGTCAGTCACCATCTAAAAATATCATTGGGTTTTAGGCAATGTTCGAAGATTTTACTTGAACTGAATGAATATATTGTAAACTTGGATCTCTTCACAGGGCAGCATATACCGTATTTTTCTGTTTATAAGGTGACCCAGTGTATAAGACAACCCCCCTTTTCTAACCGCAGATTAGAAAAAGCAGGGATCAAAGGGCTCCCATTTTGCTAAGCCCCGTGCCTTGGCAAAATGCAGGGAAAGCGGCTGCCACTTTTTCTTGCCGTTTGGGAAGGCACGGAGCTTAGCAAAAAGGAAGAGAGAATTGCCTTCCCTTCCTTTTTGCTAAGCCCCATGCCTTCGCAAAAGGCAGCAGTAGAGAGCCGCCTTCGGTGTATAAAACAACCCTCAATTTTTTCTCAAATTATTTAAGGAAAAAGTTTCAATTTATACCCAGAAAAATATGGTACCATTTGCTGGCATTGTTCAACATTTTAAAACAACAAATGACCTGCCCACAGGCTTATGGTTACAAAGCCAAGAATTGGTCAGCCAGACTGACCACCTCTCACATGACAGATGCTGTGAATGTACAAAACGGGAAGTGCTAAGTTACCTTAGAGTAGTTGTTTAAGAAGTGTTCTAGAGCACTGGTTCTTAACCTTGGGTTACTCAGGAGTTTTGGACTGCAACTCCCAGAAGCCTTCACCACCAGCTGTCCTGACTGGGGTTTCTGGGAGTTGCAGTTCAAAAGTATCCGAGTAACAAAGGTTAAGAACCACTGTTCTAGAGTAAACAGGCCTGTGAGCCCACAATCTCATGCCATTGAAATGAATTGAGTGAAACTTAATTTGTATGTTTTAAATAATATGTGCTCCTGTTTGGTATGTAAGGGCTAGGTTTGATGTGTGATGAAAAAGCAAGCACAGAGAAGCGGGGTTTCGTCATGGCAAGAACAGGTTGGGTTTCAAGCAAGTTGACATTGAGAATGAACTCAATTATATACAAGTGGTTGGTTTCTGAAGGTATCCTCTTTGAATTCCAGGAACAGAGTTACTATATCAACTAAAAAATTAAGGCAGAAGGTTTTATGAAAACAAAGGAGAAATGGCTGGGCAGAAAAGAAGGGGAAAAAGCAGATGAGAAATGAGGAGAAGTCAAGTGGCTCATCAGGATCAGAGGCAGAAAGAAGCTCAACTAAAGCAGAAGAGTAAGCGAGAAGCTCTAAAGGAAAGCACACTATAGAAACAGGAGGATCCAGGAGGAAGAAAGAAAACGTCAACAATAAAGATGAATTAAATGAATAAAACATGAAAGTGAAAGATGAAGTGGTTAAAGACTGTAGGATAAAATGGGTATAAAATGGTAGAAGAATATTAATGTTCAAAAATCAGTAAGTATTAAAGAAAATGTAGATAAGATGTTCTATAGATTATATATGATTTACTGATGATACACAATGCCAACAAAGTTTTTTTAAAGGTATAAAAATATTTTTAAATACTATGGGAAACCTAAAATACAGGAGGACACTTTTATTATGTTTAGTGAATATACAGTGGTGCCTCGCTTAACGAGCGCACCGTATAACGATTAAATCGCATAGCGATCCGTTTTTTCGGAT